AAAGGATTTTTTGAGGAAATGATTCAGTGTGATTTCATCAAATTTTAAAGTTGGATAAAATGAGCTGATTTGACGGTGCCGTCAGTTAGTCGAAAATGTACACATTTACTCCCAAACTCAATTGTTTCGCAGTTTACATCCAATCTATAGCTTATTTAACATACTAGCATCTTACCGTACGTCCATGTTGCTGTATCACAAAAGGGGATTGCATTCCTGAAATTGTTGCATCGCTCCCCTCATGATAGCGATACAACTTGGCAGGATAGTCAACACCACCTGATAATTATTCAGTTAAAAAGCGTATCTGGGGGTTTCTCTATTTCCGTTTCGTTGAAAAGGGGGCTGTAATTACTTTACCTAAGAAATCTTTGTCCAAATATTCCCTCAGCCAAACCACGAACCAAACGTTGGCTGAATGTTGCTAGTTCAGAAACATGTTTTTCGTGTGCGGAATAACGCTAATTAATTCAAAAGACAACTCCACAAAAATAAAACATTAGACTGTGAAGCATGTGGCTACAGGAACTAAGGTCGAGAATTACATATAGGAAACAGGAGTAAACAATTATTTAACTCCGATCATAATTTAATATATCATAATTTATAGGCATGGCACTTCGATGGGTAAAGCTCAATTTAGGACCAAAAGAGCGAAAGCTAATCACTGCATATGTGCAACAGAGAAAAGTGCCTCAAAGAAAAGTTCCAAGAAAAGAAAAGTGCCTCCCAACTTTCGCTGAAATGTTTGTGCCAGCCAACGTTAACCAGTTTTATAATTATACTACTTCTCCCCCTGAAGCTGCTGTGCCTTGTTAGTAACTGTGCCAGTAGTAAGACTAAACCCTGGTTCACATATAATCGCAGGCGATCGGACGATTGCTGAAACCATTCAAACGAAGATCGCGAATGGCATGTTCACATATGATCGCAGCCGATCGCAGCGATTTGTGACAACCGAGTCCATGGTTTACCATTCAGCGGCAATACAATGTAACTCCAGTCTACCAACATAAACGCAAAGGACGCTGAACTTTTAATAGCTGTTAACATTCTGCTTCTGTTGTCTTTACTTAAACGGAGGATCGCTGCCAGATCAAAGAAGAAACGTCGCTTCTTGGTGCAGTAAGTCTTAAGAAAGAGAGAATTCTTTGCTAAAGCCATTGAACAAACAATCGTATTTTCTAATTTTTTCCATAAACTGTTCCGTGTCAATTTCACCTTCCATCTTGTCAAAACACACACACGTGTAAAAGTTGATAAACAACTGGTTGTCATGGTATCATGCCGCTTGCATAGCATTATTGGACACATTCCAATCGCATTATCGCAGAACTTTGTTCACATATGATCGCACTCGATCGCACATATAGAACATGGTTCTATTCCTGCGATCGCCTGCAATCGCGATCGCACTCGATCGCAGAGCTGTTCATATATAATCGCAGACGATCGCTGGCGATCGAGTGCTATCGTCTGCGATCATATGTGAGCCAGGCTTAAGACTCAGATAGCACGTTCTCATATTCCGTATGTAACATTCATCTTTTCCCGGTCCACAAAAGCTCACGTCTGCAAATAAAATCATTTCTGCGTATCTCGGAACTCAAGAAACACTTCGAGTAGACATTGCACCAGCTGATACACCAGACTCGAGCGCGGGTCGGTATACCTCACATCAAGGACTTGCATTTTTGCGGAAACAGTGGCTTTGAAAAGTCAACTCAATTACTTGGTTTATTTAATATTCTCGCCCAAGAAGGTAACCAAGTAAGCAGCGATCTATCCCCCCTCAAATATCTTTGGGTCCAAAGCCACCAATGCATTACATGGCGATCATAGAGCGTAGCTGATGCGTAATGACCAATTTAATATAACCCCGTTGTCTTGTCAAACCAGTACGTTCACGGCCATTACTCGTAAAAGCCAATCAATGCATCATATGGCGATATGTTATTGAGCATGGCTTGATATATCACAAGGAACTCTGCCCCTTGAACTTACACAAAGTAAGCCGACCAAGTGTTTCTATAGATACTCAGTGTGGTGTCAGCGATTAATGATAAAAACACCCCTTTGAATCTCATGTGATAGGTTTGAATGTTACTCGTTTTGAAAACAACATACCGTCAACCGAAGAAAATTAAGCACGAGTGCAGGGAAGTTGAAAACTTATTAACAGTAAAATGCAGTAATATTGTAGCGAGCGGTGGTTTAAATCACCGAACTGGGTTTATCTTTCGTTCTTTTTATCCTAAAATGAGTTTTATCCACTTAAACAATAATTCACCATACAAAAATATAAACTCGATAAGGATCGGGGTATAATAATTGTTTACTCCTGTTTCCTATATCTCGACCTTAGTTCCTGTAGCCAAGTGCACGTGCTTCACAATCCAATGTTGTATTTTTGCGGGGTTGTCTTTTGAATTTATTAGCGTTATTCCGCACACGAGAAACATGATTCTGAACTAGCAACATTCAGCTAACGTTAAATTTGGTTCGTGGTTTGGCTGAAGACTTATATTTGAACAAAGATCTCTTACGTGAAGTAGTTACAGCCTCCTTTTCAACGAAATGGAAATAGAGAAACCCCCAGATACGCTTTGTAAACAATAATTATCAGGAGGTGTCGACTATCCTACTAAGTTATATCGCTATTCTGGGAGCGATGCGACAATATCAGGAATGCAATCCCCTTTTGTGATACAGCAACATACACGGTAAGATGATAGTATGTTAAATAAGCTATTGATTGGATGTAAAATGCGAAACAATGACTTTGCGAGTTGATGTGTACATTTTCGACTAACTGACGGAACCGTCAAAGCAGCTCATTTTATCCAACTTTAAAATTTGATGAAATCACACTGAATCATTTCCCCAGAAAAATGATCCTTAGCAGATCGAAAAGAACTACAACACCGGCTTTGAGTCATATGTATAGTTAGTGCATTGGTATGCGATGGTTTTCAAATGTGAACGAAGTTTCCGTTCAAATTTCCATGACAAAAATCCATCAAATGAGTTCATTTGCTTAATTAATACATTTTCGACTTAGCATTGAATGATCAACTGATTTCCGGGTCATGGAGCTTTGCTGGAAGGGAACACCCCCAGTTATGTCTGCCGGTGGGTCCGAGCGTGAGGAAATGATGATTTATTTTGCGCTTGAAAACTATCTCGCGCATGAAATTCACTTTTGAAGCTCATATCTGGCAAGATAGCTATAAGAAAAATGTTTTCATATTAATTTTTCTCCTGCCTTTGAAGGCAACGGCAAAATATTTGGCTCATTTCCTCGTTTCATTTGCTTTCACCGTATAGCTTTGACTTTGTTTGGATCGATCTATAGATGCTGACTTTTTTAAAAAACTTCTCGAGTTAAAGTTAAGCACTTTACGGAATGAGAGGATACCACATATAAATTAACTTGAAATAGTGCGTTTCACTTCGCGAGACCAACCATTGTGACGAGTTGATTTGATTTCAATACCCTTTTTTACCAAGTCGTGATTGATTTTTGCAATAATACATCGTGATGATTCTTTGAGAAATAAATCGTGGTTAGACAGGTTGAAAATTGCTGTAAAGCAAATTTATCTCTTAATAGTGACCTATAGCTACTTCAATGTATTACCAGCTACCGAGATTTTAAAATTCAACGAAATGGAAGCGCTTTGTGACAAAAGCAAATACTTACATTGGCATTTGGCTGTGATGAGAGTACCTTCGGTTGGCTTGGTTTTCGTAATGAGTCGATCTCTGATGAGAATATGCTGAGGACGTACCGTGCGGACAGGACGTTTGCTTGAAGATAAAATGAGCTTTCCTAGATCTGTTATTATATTCATATCACCTTTAAATTCTCGTATCTTTCCCTGATTGGTCGGTTTGTAAAGTCAACTGAGAGCAACAATCTCGTTTTCACGAAAGAACGACGATGCTTTTAAAAAGACTGTTCAATGACCATGCTCAGGAAATGAAAACGCACGCTTTCCAAAGTAGCCTGACGCCAGACTGCAGGCTCAAGCTTCTGTGCTGCACATTAGCATTAGGAGCGGCCGTCCGTAAATATCGCCCAGAGGTGTGCAATATAAAAAAACCGAAAATTCCCAAGCTTTTCCGGAATATAGGTCTGGATGAAATATTTCTATAAAAAAATACTTTGAGTACAATTGCATTTTTATTTTTCGCAAACAGCGGTAAAATCGGTTTTGTGGCTCTCACGTCAGCTTCGTCAGGTTCAAACAACCATTATTTGAACGTCACTTGAATATAAACAAAACAGTGAATGTGATGAAAAATTTTCCATATGAAAATAACACGTATTTATAAACAGTCTGAAGTCTTCTTTAATCGATTCCGTTGTAATCTAAATTTTTGGGGAGTTTTTGTTTTTTTTCCAATATTTCACTCATTTTGGTGGACTAAAAAATGGCAAAATTGAGAGGGTAAAATCGCACCTTGGTACATGGCATGGGGTTATATCAAGTTAATCCAGCGAAATAAGAAAGTTTCTTCTTTAAATAACTCCAATAAATTGTTTGGGATACTCAAACTACGAAATTTTAGGTCCCCAAACAAAAGTGACTCAAAGGTCAAAACGCACCCTTCCTTGATACGCAATTGGAGTGATCTATCGGTAGAAAACATAATTATATATTTGTAAAAGTAGTTCGCAGCTTTTTGCAAAGGAAATCGATTCATACATTTGAGTACGAAAGTAGAAAGTAGAGAGTAGAAAAACCCTAGGTTTTAAAATTAAGCATGATTTTAGGCGTCGAAAGCTTCTTTTGCCTTCTTGTAGTTTTGAAACATAAGTTGTCAATGGTTGTCAATGGAGTTTCAAAATATCCAAATAAGAAAATTCCTGCAAGTTGCGAAAGTTGTTATCTGAAAAACCTACATCACAAGGGAAGAATAACTTTTCACTTCTTGAGGCAGATGAATCAGATCGCTGGTCAACGCCAAGTTTTGGCGCTCCTCGAGCATTTCCTGTAGAAGCGGCGCTGAAGTGCACCTGCTATGCAGGTATCATATGCAGGTATCTGTACAGCATTAGCAAAGAATATCATTTAACTGAGAAGGAATGGTCAGATTACCCGTTTATGATAACTTTTGTTGCACTTTGAATAGATCCTTTTCGACTTATGTCGGCCTGAGATGCAAAATAATGGTTTATTATTTATTGCACTACATCTCCTGCAATTGTTATGTTAACAGAAAACGTGCGATGAATGTTAGTTACTACCCTACTAAATTATTTATGATAGTATTCGACTGTGAGTAAGTTTGAATAACAACACGTCTTCGGCAGGAAATACATCGGAAAGAACGATTTATGGGGGTTTCACTAGCGAGAGCTATTTAGAACTAATAAGAAACTTATTTTAACCAATGAAATAACGAAAGAAATACCGGAACGTCACCGATACTAAAAGGAATGTCTTGTGGCCGAGTAAACTAGAAATGCAAGTTTATAAACAATAACAAATATTACGCAATACACAAGTAACAACGAAGATTATTATGGTACCGTAAAAACAATTACGTTTACGAATTTACGATAATTTATGTATGCAAATTTTTTTCTTTTCTGAAGTGACGCAATCTATTCGTGTTTTCAACTCTGGGTTTCTCTAGAACGGGCCGTTGCATCAACTTTTTCTCTATCTACAAGCAGCGCTATAACTTTAGCACTTGTCATTTCTTTGAATCGGCAGTTCACTTTTCCTGACTAAATAATTGAAACAGGACAAACTTCGTGATCCTCTGTTATGAAAAAAGAAAAAGAAAGAATAATCGTTTACACCAAACCTGATTAAATGATGATACAAAGTTACTAAGTAATGGTAAAAACCTTTTGCCATATTACTCTGTGATAAAAAGTAGTTGAAAAAAATTGCCACTGGCCAGTTGAAAGTGCCATCACTGGCCAGTTGAAAGTGCCATCACTGGCCAGTTGAAAGTGCCATCACAAATCCTACGTGCAGGCGGAAAATGGTGCGTACGGCTGGTAACACGGAAGGAGCGGCCATGAGAGCCTCCAGTTGTTCGAAGGGTTCATCGCATGACACTTTTAGTGTCCTTGTTCGAGGAAGAGGATAAAAAATGATATTGAGTAATGCAGTTAGCACTTATTTATGGGAAAAATAGGACTTATACAAAGACCCATCGAATCGATTTTTACCAAGATTAATAACAGTGAATTTTTTCGAGGGGTGGGGGATCATTGTGGGAAGGACCTGGAACCAAATGGGCTAAATTCTGCATCAAAATCTGACATAAAAAGTGGAAAAATGTATCGTCTAGATCTCGTACCCCAAAAGCTAAAATACAGTCTTTATGAATAAATGAGCCGCTTCACACCATAGATCTGACGTACGGTTGCTATGTCTCTTACGTATGGTTACTTTTCTGAGCCACCACCCGAGGATACAGTGTTATTCGAGCTTTCAGTTTAACAAGGTTGTTAATGGAAACTGAAGAAAAATTAAACAACGCATTTAGTGATATAAGAAAGTGATCCTCTCGCCATACGTAGTCGTTCGCGTCGCAGTTACATCCATATTCCTGGTTTGCACATGTTTTGTTCAAACTGCATGCGCATTTGCACGGAACAGAGTCGGCTCCTCCCCAGTACGTCATCTTCTCGCCGTCAAGAGACACTCACCAGCTGAACATGTCACCATTTCTAAGGAGCACTGATTGATAGCACTCATACTCAGTAAACTGCTCACAGTGAGCGGATGAAACTGTTAGAGTTGCCAACTGAAGAAGACTTGTTTCATGGTAAGTGACATCACGTTAATAACTTCCGTTAGGATCAAACCCATTCACCAGTGCTCTGTTCTCACTATCATGACTGACAACTGTCACTCCAACACTGCCCTTGTCGGTCATGTCACAGAAGACTTTAAAGGATTTCACTCCACCATTTCCATCAGGGTCGATGACGTAAGAGCCACTTGATATAACTGCAAGTCATATCTCCTTAAAAGCAAAGAAAAAGAAAAAACTTGTTCATAGCATTGGATTAAATTCATCGAGAAAAGAAAAATATAGGAGTAGATTACGTTTCATTTATTAAGGAAAGTGAGAACAAAGCCAGTGAATCTGAAGTAACCAATTGTAGAGTGAAATTGGCCATTCACACGAAATGTGAATCTAAGCTAGAAATGCATTTTTCAACATTAAAAAAGGGGAAAAATACAATACATTTCATACCTCCTCCTTTGCAACGAGTTCCGCAGAATCCAGGCTTACAGTCACAGTGATAGGAGTTGGATACATATTTAGGAACAAAAGTATCACCGTTCTTACAAGGAGTGCTTTCACACCGAGACTGAAAAGAGACCAAGAACGATCCGCAAATAATGATTTTTTTCCATATATGAATACGTTGAAATCACCAAATATATTTATAACATAACCAAAGTAAAGCGCGCGCTCTGATTGGTCAATTTAGCGTCCCCTATTTGCCCATGGGTGTACGCTGCTGACGTGAGCAAATGCAAAGACTATTTTTCCGCGCGCGCTTGTTTTTTCTGGTCACCTAAGATTTGTTAAATAAAAGGGAACTCCTTAGCTACAATGTACCAATGTTATGTTATAAAACAAATGGTAAACACCACAGCGTACACTATTGAGTTATGGATACAGTTGAGAGGTTTGCTAAGCACTCAAAAAGCTAGAGTCGCTCTCGGCTATCGCCTCGAGCGACTCTTACGCTTCTTTCGTGCTTAGCAACCTCCCGCGTGCATCCCTAACTCAATAGTGTACGCTGTGGTGTTTACCATTTGTTAAAAGGAGAGCTTACCAAAGGACTGAAATGATGGAATATGACGTTTGAAAAAAAAACTTTCCTGTTGCTCTGTACTTGTCAGTGATCATCAACTCACAAAGATAAAGACCATTGGAGTCAGGATTAGCAGCTATGTTGAACGAATAACACTTTGGTTCACCGACACAAGGGAAGACGCAGGAAAACTGACCTTTCACCATGAACGATGTAAGTTTTTTTGCCCACAGATGATAGAAGGAATCATGCTTAAAGTTACCAAAAGAAAGATGACCCGTTGGACGTCGATAGAGAGCGCTGTTCTGCATGGCAAACATCAAGTTAAGCAGCGAAGGAAAAAATATCAAGAGTGGCAGAAGCTGCATGATAGTGTTCGTTGGACTGAGAATATCCGAATGAGCTGTTTTGGGGTACGAAACACCTTTTAAATTGTGAATAACTCATGTCACGGTTTTATGGTATTTGTTTGATATGGAGCTGGTGTAATGCATTATCGATTGAACTACTAAAATTTGAGAGCTAGCAGAAATAATTAGTAAAAAAAACCTCTTCAGGCGGCTGGTATGTCAGATGATAATGTCCGCGGCTGAGATACTGTCCAAAAAATGAACCTTTGGCTGAGAAGAGAAGCTTCGATAACAAATGTGAACTTTTGAGAACAATGTCTCAGCCAAGGGCATTATCAGGCGACATGCCAGCAGGCCAGAAGGGGTTCTATTTATTTCATAACCCTCCCATTAATTTTCCTATCGTGCGTCAAAAACATTTTTTGACTTTTTTGTAATTTTAATCATTAGTACAATGTCTATTACTACTGACGGTCCTATGGTCTGTAGATAATTAACTCGACAGGAACTCGGTTTTTGTTTTGCGAAGAATGAACTAAGCCAATTATAGACGCGATGAGACCCCTGTAGATGGCTTTGTGTTAAATCGAAAGAGATTTATATATTTTTAACACTATTAAAAACACCATCGATTCCGTCCATTTTCAAAATCAAAAAACTTCTCAGTCGTTTTACCGAAACCATCTTAGG